TATACATCAGAGACCCATACCAAGTCCTGTGTTGGTGGGTAAAGGTCGTTGTCAAAGTGGCTGGATTTAGAATCACTCAGGAGACACCTCTGGGTGTGTCTGTAAGGGTGTTTCCAGAGAGGGAAGTCTCGCCCTCACTGTGAGCAGATTATCACGTGCTAAGTCCTAGACTGAAGAAGAAAGGGGAAGCAAGGAAATGAGGAGAGCAGCAGCATCTAGCTTCTTCAGCTGAAGGCCAGCACAACATGGCTGCCAAGCCTCACACCTGGCTGCCATGATTTCCAAGTAGAGAGGTCAGGGGACCACTTTCAGGAGGGGGTTCACTCTTTTCCCTATGGATTCTGGGGATCAAACTCAGGCCATCAGGGCCAGTGGCGAGCGTTTTTACCAAATGAGCCAGCTCACAGGTCCTAAAGAAATATGTGTTTTAAGGAAGAAAAAAAATACCTTCTATAAAATTGTACTTAATAATTCTGAAAACAGGAAATGAAGAAAATCAAAACTCGTCACGCTCCTGTCCGATTTGCACAGAGGCATTTCAGCAGAAGACGGGTCACAGCTAACTGCAGCACACACGGCCTCATTAAAATAAAAACAGAAAACACTTTCTCCGCCAAGAATCTACAGCTGTACCACCTGCCCGAGTCCTCCAATCAGGCGGTTTAGAAAGACGACTTTCCACTTCTCAGCGCCCTCTGAACATGCTACGTAGCATGGACATGAGGAAGGTTTCTGTGGTTTCTTCTTTGAGTTGATGCCTTCAGCAAAACATGGTTTCAAAAAATTTGTCTTTATAAGTGACAGAGGATACTCACTCATAGAGCAAATACTAACTGAGTGTGTGGAGACACATACTACACTGTAAACACACTGGGCAAAGCGCTGGCACTTAAGAACACTGCTTGATTCTTCCTCTATATTCATAAAAGAAAACCACCACTGCTTCCTCAAGCGGTGACATTGGGAGCCACCCAGACACAAGGCATCAGGGGAAAGAGTGCACATTTCAATGGACAGCTCACAGCTCCTCGCTGACTGCTGCTGAGGCCATAAAAATGACACTAGGATCAACTGAAGAGAGAAAGAACCCAAAGAGATAACAGCTAATTCCATATAGATCCAACAGAAAAACACTTCAAAGATCTAATAACACATCACACATGTGTGCACACCTATAACCCAGGCACTTGGCAGGGGGATATTAAGTTTGGAGACCTGCCTGGGCTACAAAGTGAGATCTTACCTAAAACAGTCATAGAATAGTTTTGCCATAGATGCTGAAATGGGGCTTTAGTACAGACTGATGCTTCACTTGCATATTTACCCCCGGAGAGCCAGACAGAGGACACAGACGAGATGACGAAACACAGACATGTGACACGGAGGGGTGGAATCCACCTGCTTGATCCAAGTGGACTTATCCAAGAGGGACTTTTCTCAGGGTTAGACTCAAAACTAGAGCTAATAAGATTTTTTAGTGTCAGGGTGAGATACCTCTGAGCTATTGTTCAGGAAGGCCCCAGTGGTCTCCAAAACAACACACTATTAGCATTGCCTGTGGTTACCCACATAACTCCATGGTCAGACACTACTGCTGAAGACACCATCCATTTTTGACTCTAGGACAGAGAGAAATCAATCCCAAACTGACCGGGAAACTTCCTCCCCGCTAGTTAGCTTTCACAGTGTCAGAAGGTGTGATGAGGGATTCTGTGGGGGAAAGGACTTGAATGGCCTTTCCTAGTCCTGGACCCTGTGCTGTGGGAGGTCCTTCTGTCTATGTGTTGCTTTTGTTGGTTAATGAATAAAGAACTGGCTTGGCCTATAGCATAGCGGGAGGAAGGTGGAGTTAGAGAGAAGCCATGAAGGCCTGCCAGACACAGTTGCCAGAACTTTGCCAGTAAGCCACTGCCACGTGGCAATACACAGATTAATAGAAATGGGTTAAATTAATATGTAAAAGTCAGCCAATAAGAAGCTAGAGCTATTGGGACAAGCAGTGATATAATTAATACTGTTTCTGTGTGATTATTTCGGATCTAATCTATCAGGTGGCAGGAAACCAAAAAGCGGCCTCCTTGCTACAACCCTGCATGGTACAATATCAACCTAATAGGCGAGAGGTGCCCACTAGTACAATAATAGCCTGACTGTTAGGGGTAACCAACCACTTTCTGATTGGAGTTACAGCACGTTCCACAGAAAGAAGTTCGTGCCTGGTACTATAAGGCTAGTCAAAAGTTCATGGCTAAGGAGGTTATAGATCCTAAGGTAGAACATGCTATTGTTATTTTGATAAATGGTAATGCTATTAAATTATCTTCTAAATATTTACATCTATATCCATAGACCTGGGATGCACTCAGGCTTGGTCAGAGAAACTTCGCTGTGCAGTAGGCAGCAACACCGACAGACACTCACAGCTGAATGAAAGCTGTGACTTCTCAGCTCGAAATGGGATGGCTTAACAGTTCACCCCCTTCCCCTGCTCCACAAGGCTCAGGTGTGGCTCGGAGCAGAAAGTGGTAATAATATATGAACTGCTGTCTTCTGGACATTCCACAGCTGCTGCCCTCAGGGACTCCCAGCTGCAGTGGTTTCTACACAAGTCCTACACAAGAACCTGGCAGCCACAACTCCAGCACAAACAGAAGAGGGGCTTCCAGGCCCCATTCCTAGCTGAGGGAAAGGAGATTCATTCTTCTTTGAGGATGTGGCTATAATTGAGTTGCCCGTGAGCCAATGGATGGCACCATATCCATGCGCATATGGGCAGCGCTAATCAGAATTAATGGGCTATTAATAAAAAAGGAGAGCATGAGGTTAAGAGAGAGAGATGGGCCGATCGGGCCTAAGAGGAGTTGGAGGTTGAAACAGATGGGGAATACAATCACATTTCATCATATCGTGTATGAAATTATCAAAAACTAATTTTTAAACAATGAGATTTTCCTTTCATCAACTGTGGGTCATCTGTATGTTGGAACTCTAGGCTGCAGAATACCCTTAGCCACGGCAAAGGGCAGACCTCTGCACCCACCCACGTGGGAACGTCACCAGCACGCGCAGTGAGAGCAGAGCGGTGCACCGATATGTATAGTGTCATACTCCTCCAGGGTTCTCCCGGCCTCACAAATCATCTCATTACAAACGCATTCTGTAAGAAGTTTCTGGAAAGACTCCAAGCAGATAAGAGTGGTTCACTTCTGAGAAAATGACACAGAACAAGATGTGGGATTGGCATTAAGAATAGCTGCAATCTTCTCCAGAAAAGTATATTCCTGTTAATCATATCATTAAAATTAAGTTAAAGGAACTAGACTTTTATGCTCAAGAAATTAAGTATTCAATCAGCACTTTAGGGTAATTTAACATGAACATATATAGTAGAATTGAATGGTAATGAACATGAAAATTGAAGCAAATCCCTGACAGTATTCTTTTTTTCTGTTCAAAAACTGTTCATTCTTAATCTATAAATCATGAAAATTTAAAATACACATTTAAATTAAAAATTTATGGGTTTGATCATTTAGTACCTATTATTACAAGTGTAAGGTCCAACCTTGAAGCTAGGCAGAGAAAGAATTTCAAATCCAGCATCTAAATGCACAAAAGAGGAGTTGGTCCTGCTCCATACCACACTGGGAGAGTATCAAACGAAGCTCCTCACCAGCCCACTGTGCAGCTCTGTGTGGAGCAGATGCTCACCCCAGTACTGTCACTGATGCGGAAGGATGCTCAGGGAGAAACAGACAAGTGGCCAAGGAGTGAGAAGAGAGGAGGAAGAAAGGGAGGGAACTGCAAACAACAGGAGAACACGTGCACTGAAGAGAAAGTGCTGCAGAACAGACACGGCCCGGGTGCTTGACCTAGAGGTCACACAAGTGGTTAGCAGCAATCTGCAGTCTGTGCTTGTAGAACAGTTATAAGACACTCCTACACACATCATGGGGTAAATTTGTGATGCCGCAGTACAGGTGACAGGTACATAGAGCTAAACACAGGATAAAGTCAGAGAGAACTGAGTAACACATTCACATGCAGCAGAATAGTCAGATCTCAGTAAGAGCAGAGTTGTGGTCAAAGTCTATACCCCATTTTGCAAAGCTCCGACGGTGTGGAAAGTGTGCGAGAAGCCACCCAGATGATCCACAGCTGAGATTATGACTTCCAAGACCAGCAGTCTTCCAGGGCCCTACTGGGTGTCACTGTGCACTGGCTCTTAAATGGCTGAGAACTTTCAAGTAAGCATGAAATTCTCTCAGGTGTCAGAGCAGGGATAATAAGCTCTTTTTCTTCATCCAGGAAAACTAACTGGAAAATATCTGATCTGCACTTTCAAAACCAACAGAATGGAGTGAGGGGAGGTGTTGAGGAAGGTACAGCAAGGAAAGAGAGTGGAGTAACGGGGTCAGAGCTGAGTGGTGATGAAAGTGAGAAGAGGGAGTTGGGGTGGTGTTCAGTACCAGCAGTGTGGTGACAGACCGAAGGAACTAAACCCAACATCCCCTCAGATAGAACATCCACATAGAGGAACGCAAGGAAATCTAAACAAGGGCAGGGCTGTAATCAGTGCCCATATCCTGCCGGTACAATCAAGCTAGAGTCTTCTAAAACGTCACCACTGGGGCGACCAAGGCAGTGACACATGGATATGTCTATATTACTTGTCACAGGTACACAGGAATATGTAGTTATTAGAACGTTTCAAAACCTCAGTTTTAAAATTCAGAACATATACACCACCAGTGCTAATTTTAAAACAAGGTTGTGATACCATGTAGAGGACCCAGGAAGACACGATGTGGCCAAAGTCTTCATCACAGTCATACAAAGACTGGGAGTATATGGTAGCTGCTTGGGAAATAGACAATAAAGGTGACAATTATGGACTACACCAGAAATCATACAACAGTTCTAGCCATATGCACAGCATACGTTTGCATTCTGGTGCCTGACTCTATGGGGACAGACAATGGCCACCAGTGCACACTGACCTGCTTGTACGTCCCATCCAGCAGGGTGTCCAGGTGCTGGAGCGGGGCAGGTGTCTTATCTCTGAACCTTGTTAGAAGCCGACGCTGGATGGCCCGAAACTGTACAGCTCTTTCAGATAAAAGCTCTTCCAACTTCTCCCCATTAATCCGCAGCTGTAAGGAGTAATTTCTTAGATTAGGGCTACATAGATACAATAAAGGAACAAACAAAAAAACATAAATTAAAAAAGGATGCATAAATTAAAAATATATACAGTGTAGTAAAATTTTGAGAAAGAGTTGGATAGATTTAAACAGGGTACAGAGAAATGGGAATTAGGACTGCATGACCTTGGGTACCTGACTACACAGACAAGAGAGCAGGTAAGGGGAAACTTAAGGAATATGCCACAGTATCACTGGGAACTGTCTTTAACATGTTTAATAAAAAAACTAGCTACATAGAAAATTTATAATTTCCTTTTTCTCATTGCAATGAACCAAATAACAAAGAGAATAAAAGAGCAGACACAGAAGTAGCAGAACTGAATGTTTCTTTCTTTTTCTTTCACGGATAGCAATTTTTTATTCATCTGTTTACTCTACATCTCAGCTGCAGCCTCCCTCCTCCAAGCTCCCCGCCAAGTCCCTCTCCTCCATCCCCTCTCACTTCCAATCCCCCCTCTTCCATCTTCATTCAGGAAAGGGCAGGTCTCCCGTGAGTATCAATAAAACATAGCAGATCAAGTTGTAGTATGACACTTGCCCCTGCATTAAAGCCAGACAAGGTGACCCAGTATGAGAAGTAGGGTCCCAAAAGTCAGAAAAAGAGTTGTAAACAATCCCTGTTCCCACTGTTAGGAGTTCCACGAGAGGACTAACCACACAACTGTAACGTACACTCAGAGGGCCTAGGTCAGTCCCACGAAGGCTCCCTGCTTGCTGGTTCAGTCTCTCTGGGCCCCTATGAGTCCAGGTTAGTTGATTTGAATTCATTTCTATAATCTCAGCTTTTTATTGCTTGAATCAAAAGCCACTGACATCCACCACAAATATATACAAATACATACTACACAAAAGTGATAAATTACAATGGTAAAAAAGGCAAACGAAGCCAGGAACTGGTGGTGCACACTTATAATCCCAGCACTTGGGAGGCAGAGGCAGGTGAATCTCTGTGAGTTCGAGGCCAGCCTGGTCTACAGAATGAGTTCCAGGACAGTTAAAGCTACACACACACACACACACACACACACACACACACACACACACAAAACCAAGTGGCTAGGGAGAAGTCTGGGTGGGTAGAAGGCTTGCGTGAGCCTGCAGGCCAGAACTTGAATCCTCGGAACCCTGTGTAAACAAGGCAGATGTGCTGGTCCCAGACCCAGAGACAGGGCACCCCTGGAACACGCTGGTTGGCTAGCACAGCCAGAATCGGAGAACTTGTCCTGATGAGTGAGATGGAGGGGAATCGAGGAGGATATCCAGTGTCCGCAGTCATCTCCCAACATACATGTACACCCAAATACACTCCTCCTGTCTTCATGACTTCTCTACTGCTGTGCTAACACACTGCAATGAAGGAACTCACAACAGGAACTGACTGTTAGGATGTCCAGCACCAGAGCTGTAGGGTCCACACTAGTGAGGGGAAGGCTTGGCGGCAGGACAGCTGGGAGCTCACATCCCGTACCTCACCACAGCACAGACAGGAGATGATGGAGGTGGCAGGAGGCTCTTGAAGAACCAAAGACCAGCCCTGCAACACACCTCCAACAGGGCCATACATCCTAATCGTTCCCAAACAGTTCCACCAACTGGGGGATCAAGGAGCCTATGGGGACCATGCTCATTCAAACTACCACACATGCAAATTGGTATACATACGTGAACACACACATGTATGTACACTACACAAATACATACAAAATTAATCCTACATGATTAAACACTGTAAGCAAAGTGATAAGACAAATAGCAAGCTGCATAAAGTAATAGCAATATCTATAGCCATGAAAAAATATGCCATAGTGTCCAGACAACATCTGCAAGCCAATGTAAAAGGCCTATCAGCCAACAGAAATTAGTAAGGAAAAAGAGAAAAATGGGAAATTTTTACCAAAAAGTGTTAATAACAGTTTTATTTTATTTATTTTGTGTAAAAGTCTCATCATGTACCCCTCAAAGTGACTTTAAATTCAAGATGTTCTTGTCTTTGTCTTCATGTACCTAAATTATAGGACTGTACCACAAAGCCCAACCCACTTACTCACAATGCTCTTAAACAACAGCCTTTGATCTAATAGTCTAATAATATTTTATCTAATTCCTAGCAGTGGTGCTAGGAATTTATTCAAGAGATAATGCTTAAATATGCATTTAAGGTTATCCATGATAATATTCTATTGTTATTATAGTTAGAGATTAACAAAGGAAAAGCCCATTAAGAAGACATATTATTAAATAAAGAATAATACTGTGCAAAGCATGTGTTGAAATTCAGCAAATAAAATGCCACAAAATAGACTGTTACCATGCTATGCTGTCCATTTCTGTTTCCAAGTAAAACTGCGTATTAGCATAGTTCTGACTACACAGAAAACTTCTAGAAAGATATGTATATATATAAAACACCAATAGTAGCCTCCAAAGAGGAGACTGACAGCTAGGGGATGAGAATCAGTAGCCTATCTCCTAGCTTTGAAATAAAATATTAATGAAAGAAATCCAGTAAAAATCTCTTCTCCTCCTCTGCCTCCTCCTCCTTCTCCCTCTCTCTCTTTGGTTTTTTGAGACAGGATTTCCCTGTGGAGATCAGGCTGTACTTGAACTCAAAGATCTGCCAGCCTCCCTCACAAATGCTGGGATTAAAGGTGTGTGCTACCACTACCAAGCCAGTCAAAGTCTCTGAAGGAAAAAGATACCTTTCATTATCAAAAATTAAGTGGCAGAACTGAAGAATTACAATATCAGTAGACATACTAATACAGAAAAGGGGAAGATTTCATGGGGTCCCACCAACTGACAACAATATCTGTCGAGAAAATTCATCTCTCCATGCTATGAACCCCCTAATTGGTTACCAAATACAAACTGATAAGCACTGAAACCATACACACAAACACACACACCAAAAGCCGGTTCATCAGTTTGCGTGTGTGTGTGTGTGTGTGTGTGTGTGTGTGTAATAATCAAATAAAAAGAAGCTATCAATTTGAGAGAAGGGGAAATGGAAGAAGACGAAGTAAGGGACATGAGAGGCGCTCAAGAGTGAAAAGAGAAAGAAGGAAATAACATAATTAAATATTTTAATTAAAATGTATTTAACTATTGCCAGAATAGGGGAATTGGGAAATAACAGAGAATGGCAGGGTACAAGTGATCCAATCAGGGAAATAGGAGAAGTGGGACTCCTTGGAGATGGGAATTTCCTCAAGGAAGCTTCTCTTTGCAAGAGATGGAGACCATTACAGAAACCACAACCAATCAATATACAGAGCTGTGTTTCAAGTCCTGTTGTATACATTTGCAAAACATTCCCACGCCAAAGGCTCACTGAACATTGCCAAAGAGGGGTAGAAAGAGCCAGGGGATAAGGGAACTTCCTACAATATTGTGTCTCCTATTAATAACAGAAGCTACATCCATAAAGTCTCACCAACATGGACTGCACAAACATGAGCTGAGCAAGAACAAATGGATATGGCAAAGAGGATGGGGAATGCTCATTTATGCCTCAACCCTACACATTACAAGCAACTGAGGAAAGTTGAGAACAGGGGAGCTGATCTTCCCAAGCAGAGTCAACCTTGAAGACATAAATACAAGTAACATTATATGGACTCAACAGATACCAAGCTCAAAAGCCCAGAGAATATATTTTACAAAGTCAAAGAATAAAATTTTACTATCCTAAAGAAGGCCATCCCTATAAAGGCACAAGAAGCTTACAGAACATCAAATAGATGTATGGGATAAGAAAAGAAAATCCCTTCGCCACATAATAATAAAATCACTACACATATGAAACAAAGAAAGAATATAAAATCAGCAAGGAGAAAAGGCCAAGTAACATAAAGATAAACCTACACTTGACTTCTCAATGGAGACTGTAAAATGCACAGGGCCTGGACAGATGTCTTATAGACTCGAAGAGACCCTGATGCCAGCCCAGACTTCTATATTCAGGTAAACAGTCAATCACTACAAATGGAGGGGAAAAAGTATTTCACGACAAAGTCAAATCTAAATAATATCTATCTACAAATCTATAGAAGGTACTAAAAGAAAATTCCAACCACAGGAAGTTAACAGCACTCACAAAACCACAGTCAATAGATAATCTCACACCAGCAAAACCCAAAGAAGGGAAACACACATACCTACACACAACCAACAACAACAACAACAGCAAAACAACAGGAATTAACAATCATTCATCATTAATAGCCCTCAGTACCAATAGATTCAACTCACCAATAAAAGACACAGGCTAACAGAATGGATGCAAAACAAGATCTGCTGCAAACCAGAAACACACCTCAGCATCAAAGATAGACGATGTCTCAGAGTAAAAGGCTGGGGAAAGATTTTTCAAGCAAATGAACCTAAGAAGAAAGCTGGTGTAGCTATCTAACAAAACAGATTTCCAACAAAAATTAATCAAAAGAGATGGAGAAGGGAATTTCATACTCAAAGGAAAAATCCACCAAGATGATGTCTCAGTCCTGAACATCTATGCCCAATATACAAGGGCACCCAAATTTGTAAAAGAAGCATTAATAAAACTTAAATCACATCGAACCCCACATATTAATACTGGGAGGCTTCAACAACCCATTCTCACCAATAGACAAGTCATCCAGACAGGACTAAGCAGAGAAAAACTGGAGCTAATAGATGTTGTAAACCAAATGGACCTAACAGATATCTACAGAACATTTCACCCAAACACAAAAGAATACACCTTCTTCTCAACTCTTCACACAACTTTCTCCAAAATTGACCACATACTCAGTCACAAAACAAGTCTCACCAGATTCAAGAAAACTAAAATAACCCTCTGTATCTTATCAAACCAACATGGTTTAACAATGGAGTTCAACAACAACACTAACTATAGAAAGCCTACGAACTCAAGTAAACTGAACAACTCTCTACTGAATTCCTAC